TACACGCTGACCATTTGAGTACATACGAGAACAATACAGTAACTAATAAAAGCCGCAAAGCTATCATTATTTCTTTATTTGTTAATAAAAAGTAAAGTAAAGTTGCAGCCTATTTACGTCCCACTGCTGGGCACAGGCCTCCTCTCATTTCTGAGAGGGTTTTAGGGCAAGGAAATGTCCGCCGCGCTGCCCAAATGCGTGTTGGCGAACTTCACATATCTTCGAAATATTTTTTTTCTTATTTCTCAGACATGCAGCTTTCCTCACGATGTTTTCCTTCACCGCCGAGCACGTGGTAAATCAGCACTTAAAATTGCAATTAACAATTTTATTGGTGCCGGCGGGGATCGAACCCGGGTTGCTCGAGTACTGTGAACCTTACAGCGAGCGCTAACCATCTGAGTTACCACGGCTCTTTATTTGTTATTTGTTGCATTTGTTAATATTGAAAATTTATCAAAAATTGGCATTCAATTATACATAAGCTTATACGCTGACGTAAACGTACATTTTCAACGTTTAATTCTTATTTTTAACTAGCTGTGCCCGCGGCGTAGCTCGCGTATACAGGTTTTACATAAAGAATTTGTCGTTTAGGTAAGAGAATATTAAACGATTTATTTCATTACTGTATCAATAAGTGGTAACTAAATAAATCATTATCATCAAAGTTCTAAGTTGTTTATGATAGAGCTTCTGTGTAAACGACGTTAGAAGTAGGCTTAGCCGGGTGTACACAGAAAGGTTACGGGTGCTACTAACGCGGGAAAAAGCAACATAGAGTTGGCCATGTGCAAAACAGTCAGTACTGAGGTACACTCCTACAACGCGTAAAGTTTGACCTTGCGCTTTATTTACGGTCATCGCATAACACACGCTCACTATAACTGGCAACTGAACGCGCTTAAAACTGAAAGGAAAGTTACTTCTTAATAGAGGGGTTTTGGGCAGTGCTGCCAGATAAAAAAAAAACTCATTCAGCTCTAGGACAACACAAAAAGCGCTAGATTTCATGAAAACAGCGCTTTAAAAAAGCCCTAGATTTCGCGCTAAATTAACTACAAACAAAGTTTGTGTTTTTTTATATAATCATAATAAAGAAAACAACTTTTTCTGGCAATATTTTTTTGATGTATCAATACTTCGCAGAACATCGACTTATAATTATGGCAATTGCTGTCAACAGTAGTTAGTACTGTACGAACAATAAAAATGTCATTAATTGTTTTAAAGTGCAATGTATTTCGCAACTTAGTTTCAGATGTCAGCATCTGATTGCGGTTGCTACACAGTTTCTTTGTGTTATAACTTCTAAGTAACTTTTAACTTAGCTGTGCTCTAAGCAACTGACTGAAACTGAATAAAGCAAAATAAATGCGTTGCCAAAACCATGAACGAAAACTTTAATAAAGGGGATTTCCCCGCTTATAGTCGTCGGTAAAAAAAATCAAGTTGATCATCCTAAAGGGGAAGCCAGGAGATCCATAGCACAGGGTATCCTAGTTTGGACTCGTCTCCCACGCTCTTTGTTTTGTGGAAAAAATATGTTTGAAAAAGATAAACTGCAATGTACTATTTGTGGGAAAAATAATAAAGGTCATTATTATTATTATCGGTAATGTGGACTAACAGTGCTGCTATAAAAGAGTTAGATAGACCGCTAGTCGCTACAATTTTGAAATGTGTGCTAAATACACCAAAAAGCGTTGGATTAAGCGCTAGGTGCTAAAATTTCGAAATGCGCGCTATACATTCCAAAAAAGCGCTAAATCTAGTTCCCAAAGGGCTAAAATAACAGTACTGGTTTTGCGTATATTATAAATACAATATCACGACATTTCGTTGCAAAATTTTTATTTTTGGTCGGGTTCCGTTGTATGGCTTCGATGGATACAAATTTCTTCAATAAGTCTCAATACGATTCATCGGCGAAAAATCTCAACACAGCAATTCAGAAAAGTTTGTAATTTGTACAACTCCATCCATTACGTCCTTTGTGTGAGAAAACATCCTTTTTAAATCTCTTTTTGTGTTTTAAGTATAAATATATTAATTATTATGGAACGTTTTTTTTACACACAAATCTTTATATTACTATTTCTGAGATTTTATGGCGCCATTGAACAAATCCGAACCCACATTTCAAAATAATAATAATTACTTTCGATAGAATTAACCAATTTTAATAAAACAAAGATTAAATGTAACTCGAAGATACGCTTTATGATATTCTTAACGATTTCTTTGAAAATAAAAGATGTTTGCTTTAGACGTGATGCGTTCATATAATAACAGACAAATAGACAGACAGACAATTCTAAAAATTATAAAATGTTCTTATTTAATTATTTTCAGTTCCCCATAATGATTTTAGCCACCAAAATATATATACAATGTACAGAAAGAGACACAACATGTTATCATCATTTTTATTATATGTATATATTTAAAGAGAGATGGCGCTGCTAACATCAATTCTAAAAATAAAAGAGATTAATTGACGCGATTGATACATTATATAAAACGTAAGAGAACTTATAAATCAGTGCCTGCACAGTAAGCAAAAAATAAAGTTTGACTCTCGCCAAAACCAACGCAATTGTTAATAGCTCTTTTAAAATTTGATTTACCACATAGAGTACTCGGCGGTAAAGAATAAATTGAGTTTGTCAACACACAGTAGGGCAGCGAGTAATATAATAAAGATTAGCAGTAAATATAAAAACTCATCTACAGGAAGAAACCACATTGCAATTACATTACATTTTCACAACACCACCATCTATCGAAGAAATGGGTTAACTATTGTGCTTCAGATTTAGTTAATAAGGCTAATATATTTTTGTATAATATATTTAATACGTTCTTTAATACTTTTGTTTACTGCGTTTTAGATATACATAATTATATCATTATTTTACATAATTTAACTATGATTTATGATATGATATTAGTTTAAAATGCACTTGATGACTCAAACAAAGCCACCGTTGAGCAAATTCGTACTTATACTTCCCTACCCATACTTCAGAATATTTATCATAACTTTTGATTGAATGAACTGATTTTAATGAAATAAAGACTAAATGTAACCCGAAGATACACTTTATAATTTCCTTAACAATTCTTAGGATATAAATTAGTACTTTATACGTGATACGTTAACAAACAAACAGACAGACAGACAGACAGACAGACAGACAGAAAATTCTAAAAATGGTAGAAATGTATTTAATTACTTATTTTTAGTACCCCTCAATCACTTTTATTACAAAAATATAAAATGTACAGACATCTGCTATTTACAGTTTTATTATATGTATAGAAGAAAATTCTAAAAATGGTAGAAATGTATTTAATTACTTATTTTTAGTACCCCTCAATCACTTTTATTACAAAAATATAAAATGTACAGACATCTGCTATTTACAGTTTTATTATATGTATAGATATAGATAATCTATTGACAACTTCCTCTTTTCTCATTTTAATTCTAAGTACACAGATCACATTCACCTACTCAAATCACAATTATAATTATAAAGTTACAGAGTATAGAGGTTACCAATTTAAAAATAAGTAAGTTTTACAAAATACTAAATAATAATGAAAATAAACACAAGTTGAAACGTTTGTTTCAATTTGTGCTTATTAAGACTATCCACACTAGAAGAAGAAAAAACACTCACAAGTAAAGCCTTATAACAAAAATATCAACTTACTTGGCCAAGGATAGATTTTTCAAATATCAGAAAAAATAATTCATAGCATAAAATACAAAATAAACATGTTAAATATTACAATTGTTTAATCAAAATAATGTATTCATTTGTTTCACATTCATACTCAGTCCGATTATAATTTATTTGGTGGTTAACTTTGATATGATGATTGTAAATTCATCATATCACATCACATAAATCATCCAACCATCACTTGGCCAGATGGTTATTCCATTAGCAATTACTGCTCCCCGTCGCCCGTGGATGCCCGTAGGCATAGTATCAGGTGACAGAAGAAAAAGAAACGAGAGACGGGCAGTAGCATTTTTCTGATAAAAATGCCGTGTAGTGGCGTTATATAAATATATCCACTAGCCCATATCATCCTGTGGGTGTCGTAAGAGACGACAGAGGTAAACAATTCAGGAGATGGGTGAAAGCGTCTTCCTAATAAAGACTAAAATAAAAAAAACGTGGCAGCTACGGTTAATATTCCCCCTATGAGACAAGCTATCGGGAGGCCAATGTTCAGCAGTGGACTGTATTAGGCTGTAACGATAACGGTGATAAAAACTGTGGATGCCGATTCGCCTGTCAAGCGTGGCAAATATGGCAATTATCAGAATGTTAAGCGGTTGAGTTTTGGTAAGTAGGCTGTAATAAAGAATGAAAGGTATGAGATAGTTGTTATATCTGCAGGCCATGAGTTTTTGGCATTCCTCCTAGTCGACTTTGCGGCACCCATAGTCGAGATGAGTTCTCTTAAATTGCCAATGCAGTCTGTTAAATCTTAATTTTTTAAACCAGTCAATGATATTTTAAATGTATCAGGTAATCGTCATATTTGGAGGAGTTTATTTTAAATGCTTTCCTTATTATGAGTTTATGATAATGATAACGACTTTTCGGTTATCTTTGGACCTCTACGGGCCGTTTCTTTTATACATATTAGTTTGAATAAATCAACTATTATTTTTTAATTTAATTTGTGATAAATTTAATTTGATTATATAATACATATATAAATATTTTCCATATCAGTTTCGTCCTCTTCCATTGGAAAGCTTAGAGGCTTAAAACGTAAAAAGCTAGAAGCAAACTGCTTTTTAACACTATTACTCAATAAACAAACAAAGAATAATATATGTACAAGGACAATATATGTAATAACTAGAAATAAGTTTTATTTGCTTCGGTTTTGGATATTTCTTGTATGGTACTTGTCCAATATTCCTTGCCAACAACACAGTTCTTAAAAATAAACAAAACTCGCATTGTTTACAACCTAAATAATAGAACCATGACGGAACACATCACGGTCAATGCACTTATACTAAGTACATGAGCCGAATCAGGCTCGTCGTCCGGTATCTCATTTTGATTCATGACTCTGGCCATTTCATCTAGAATCCTCTTCTCCTCTAAAGCAAGAGTTGTTGCTTCATTAATTGTATGCATCAGCGCGTAATTAGTATATTTAGGTTCAGGCAAGCGAAGGTACAGTTTGTTGTTGGATACTACATAATATGAATTTCTTGCGTTTAAATTTTCAATACTTGCAGCTGTGAAAATTATAAATTTATAATGCATTTACATTTTTTTTAAAATACTTAATCAAGAATTAGTTAGGAATTTTCTATTTCTTTTTGCGTGTTATATAGTCTCAGACGAACAATGAAAGAAAGACGAAGCGCAGCTTCCATTTGACTCACAATGACATTGCAAACAAAAACATAGTTTTTATTACATACTAGCTGATCCGGCGAACTTCGTACCGCCTAACAGTCGATTCTTTAATTTTTTTAATACTTATTCTGCTATTCGGGACACCGGGTCAGCTAGCTAGATAAAAAAAGAAAAAATAGAGTTGATGACATATCAACTCTATTTTTTCTTTTGTGAAAAAAAATATTATAATTGTTTTGCCTTCCTGTAACCTCTCCACTAACACTTAAACTTTATTGTATGGTATTAAAGTTCAAATTGACTTTTAAGTATAATTACGAATCTTTTGTATGGGAATATAGAAAAGTGTTGTTTATATACTTTTTCAGGCAATTTTTTAAAATTTTCTCTCCGTAAGAACCATCTTCGTACTTCAAGGAATATTATAAAAAAAGAATTAGCGAAATCGGTTCAGCTGCTCTCGAGATTTGCGTTTAGCAACACGTTCAGAGATTCATTTTTATATTATAGATTTGTGTGTTCAGCTATTAATTTTGTAGGTGTTATAGAAAGAAATAGGAAAGATATGTGCGTAGGTGTGTGTCAAGAAGTTGAACATGGTTTTGGAATTACTTAAAATGTGCGTAGGGCTCTGTCTATCTTACTTTGTTGGTCTGAGAATATAGTTTGATTATTATTCAGTAATTATAAAAACATTTCCGATATGTTATAACGTCAAAAAATATCAGTCATTTAAATGTTTGGATTTTATAGAATAAGGGTAACAAACGAGCACTCAGTCCACTTGATGGTAAGTGGATGCTATGGAACAAGACATCTACATTTCTCATCGATTAAGAATCAAAATGCAGATGCGTTTTCACCCCTGAAGACTAAGTTAGAATGTCTCATTTGCAGTAAAAAGAGTCTCCGGTTCTCTACACTCATCATTTTTTTATAGGATAGGGTGACAAACGAGCACACAGTCCACCTGATGGTAAGTGGTTGCTGTGCCCCATAGACATCTACATCTATCTTCGATTACGAATCAAAATTCAGTTGAGTTATCACCCCTGAGGACTAAGTTTGAATGCCTTATTTGCAGTAAAATGGGTCTCCGGTTCTCTACACTCATCATACAAAACACAGCAGCATTAAGCTGCTATCTTACGCTGGTATTCTGTGAGAGCGTGGTCCTTCCGCGGTTGAGCCGACCCGTTCATGCTACAACTATAATACTCGTATAGCTGTAGCGTGGCTCTACCACGTATAATTTCATTTGTCCGTAAAAACTCACTGCCGGACAAGGACGTCTCGTTTTAGGAAGGATTGCCTTTATCGACGTATTCACAGTACCAGACTTCTCGCAACCTTGACGTTGCTGCCCGGCGACTGTCTGGATATATTACGTCTGATGTAAATGGGATGGTGGTGATGGTCCTATGTATGAAAAGCTATCAGATTTTTTGGCATATGTTCCATAGTTGCTTCTTACGACAGTTGAGAGGCGAAAGGGGTGAAGAATTTTTTAATGTTGCCAACAACTTACATTTAAATACCATTATACTGAAATATCTTAAATTATTAATTAATCAATCAAATCGAAAGGTAAAAAAATCAATTTTAATAAAATGTGAAAGTCTACTTCAAAGAGCTAAAAAGTATATAATAATTTTACATTCTGAATTCGGTGCTAAGTCATGGAAGAATTAAAGCCCAGCATTCAAAATGTGAACGTATTTTATCCTTTTTAGGTCTTAGAAGTAGGCTTTCGCTTTTTATTAAAAGTATTTTTTTTAAGTCGTTTGAGAGGGCAAAGGAATATAACAATCTCAATCTCGTCTAAATAGTTACATTAAAAACTTCATCCCCTATCTTGCCAATATCCTTAAATATTTTTCTTCCAAATTTATAAAGGAATTCTCTACCTAGTATTATAACCTCAGAAGTATTCCCATACAAATTTTTAATAAAAAAGGAATCATCTAAAACTATTTACTGCTAACGAAAACATACATATAACAAGCGTTGTTAATACTGTTTAAAAAACCCGAGTGCGTAAAAATTTACTAATAATACCCATTATACGATTATATTATAAGAACGTTATGACAGCTCTATTATAAGTTTTTAAAATTTAAGTGAGAATGGTCGCTAACCATCATTAAATCGTTATAGAGTCTAAATAAAGATTCAAAATGAAAAATGACAAGAGAAACCTAAATATGATTTTCAAAGACCTAATTAATGATACCCCACCTGATATATAGTTCGATGACTTTCATTTTTTTTCTATTAAGCAATATGGAGTCAGTTTTTTGCCATATTGAATTTTGATTACTGTCATGTCTTTAGTGATACGAATAAATAAAATGTAGGACATATAATTATTTAAAATAATGAATATAGACTGTCTCACCATCCGGTAGATTGAGATATTTTAATGCTTTGGTCAGTACAGGGTCGTCGACGATTTTGTTGTATTGCTGTATGAAATCGTGATATGTGTCCGTTTCTTTATCACAATAACCTTTAAAGTCATCTGTGTCGATACTCCAGACCATAAGACCGCCTAGATTATATTCCATGGCCGTTCTGTAATAATAAAAATAATAATAATAGTAGTTATTAATATATTTACAATCCACGTGCAGTAGGTTTATTATTTTTTATTTTATTTTATATGATGGTGACAAACGAGTACACAGTCCACTTGATGGTAAGTGGTTGCTGCGGCCTATAGACATCTACATCTATCCTCTATTACAAATCAAAATGCAGATGCGTTGTTAGCCGTGAGGACTAAGATGGAATGCCTCTTTTCCAGTAAAAAGGGTCTCCGGTTCTCTACACTCACCATACGAAACACAGCAGCGTTAAGCTGCTATTTTACGCTGGTATTCTGTGAGAACGTGGTCCTTCCCCGGTCGAGCCTACCGATTCGTGCTACAACTATACTACTAATATAGCTGCAGCATGGCTTTACCACGTACAAAATAGGTTTGTCAATAGGCTCATCAAGCGTCGATCGAAGCGTTGCTGGCAGTACTACGGGGTCAGTAAAGTAAACTTTGTACAATTGTTAACGCTAATAAAAATATAAAAATGAATGAACGACGTCTCGACTACGTTGAGATAGATACGTCTATCTCAACGTAAAATCACGTGTCTTAACTTTAATTTAATTGAATTTTTATACTTTTCTATTAGCGTTTACAATTATGGAAATTCAACTTAGCTGATTTCGTTGAACAGACAAACGTGATCGGTGGATGAAAGGTATGTAATAATCATCAAAAATCATTCAATCAGTGGTAGAGCCACGCGGCAGCTTTTGCTGTCACATGGATGGGCCGGCTCGAACTGGGGTGGTACCACGACCTCACAGAAAACCAGCGTAAAGTAGAGGTTTACCTCTGCGTTTCGCTTGGTGAGTGCAGGTAGCCGGAGTCCCTTTTTACTGGAAATGAGGCATTCCATCTTGGTCCTCACGGGTGACAACGCATCTACATTTTGATTTGTAATAGAGGATAGATGTAGAAGTCTATGGGCCGCAGCAACCACTTACCATCAGGTGGACTGTGTGTTTGTTTGTCACCCTTATCCTATAAAAAAAATCAGCAAGTACAGAGAACCAAATCAGGCGATGGGTAGCAGCATCTTCCTAATAACGATGTAAATAAAAAAACTGCAGTTGCCAACCAGCTTGCCAAGCATGGCAACTATGGCAAATATCCCCACTATGAGGCAATCTATGGAGGAGGATGTCTAGCAGTGGAATTTAATAGGCTGTGACGGTGACGATAAGGAATGAAATATTTCTAGGACGTAGGAAGTTCGCCAACATGCATTGGACTCAATATATGTAGCTCATGGTAAGTAGATGCCATAGCCCATAGGTATCTACACCTATCGTGGGTCAAGAAGTTGCCAGTATAAGGAGTCACACGTCCCCGTTACTCAATAGAAACCCAATTATAGCATTATACTGTTATTTTACCCTAGTGTGCAGTGAGAGCTGGTCCTTCCTCGGTCAAGTGGATCTGTTTAACCTACAGTGTAGTTTTCAACACTTATAAATAGTACACTTTAATAATAATGATGCTGATGAGTACTCACCTGACTTTTATAGCTATAGACCTGGTATTGTCGTAGACGATAACCCGTTTGTCGTCACGTAAATAAGGCGTTGCTGATTGGTCGTGCCAGTGGTGAGTCCACTTGGATGACTTGTTTGTTACTTCCATGCAGATCTGGTGAATTTATATATTTGATTGTTTGTTTATAACTATTGTATTCTTGGTTGCTAACCTTTTTATGAAAAGAATACTTAACATAGAGTTCAGAGTTATCATATGATATAGTGTTTGTACGCACCTCATTGTACCCCATGAAACCAGCTTCTCTAGTAAAGGGACCTTTAAAGCCTGTTTGTTCTGTCGGAGTCCGTCCAAATTCAATATCTTGGGTGTCCTCCTTAAGAATGAAGTTGCGACCATACAAGGGCAAGCCAAGAACCATTTTGTAAGGACTAATTCCTTTAGCTAGTAAGTATTTGATTGTAAACTCCTGTACACAAAAATAAACATTAATGAAAATTGGTAAAACCTTAAATAATCTGAATTTTTTATATTTTAAGCGTTAAATATTTATATTTTTGATACGTATTTTATAAATAGAATAGAATTGTTGCTAATAGATAAACTATTTTAATTAATAGATATTATTACATAATACTTCTTGAAAGTCATTTTTTATTTACCACTGGATCGAAAAATACCTCTGTCCTGGGAAGAACCAGCAAGAAACAAAGTGAGTTTATTTTTTTAAACATATATCTCAACAATAATTTTATACAATTTTTAAATGAACTTTAATAGAACCAGCATGGTGGCAATAAGGCTAATGAGGTGATTGTCACCAGGGGTTATGTTCATTCATGTATCTATTCCTTAGTATTACAAGTTTTCTTCAATAAAACTTTTAAATTTGTTTATTGACAATTTTTTTACATTTTCTGGGATTTTGTTGTAAAAGAAATTAGAGAAGAAAGTTAAATACTATTATTGAAGCATATACTCGTACATTGAAATTACCCATAAACGAATTACTAATTCTGTGGAGCCTAGTAACTGGTATTCCAAGCTTATGTTTGTTCCTAATGTTTAAAGTATGAACATCTTTAGTCTTATCTAGACTATTCATATTCTTATGTATATAAAATAGATGTTGGGAGATATTAGTATATGTATAACAAATTATACTTCAGATTATATGTATAAACATAAGCATGTAAGACGAGAACTAATACCGACAAACTGTAATGCAGTTTGGCAGATAAAAACGTTAAAAATGTTTATTGTATAATTGGTAGAAAATAAATAAAAAAAAGTATATGCATTACATTTTCATAAATATATTGCGATGCCAAAGTTAATGTATGTTTATTTCTTTTAAATTTTGTCTGTGGAATTTTTTACAATTTAAGTTATTAAATCGCCCATACGGCCCTCTTTTGCAAAGAAATATGGCTACTCCATAGCAAAATTCCATAAGATATTACACCATGAAAGTAACTAAAATAAACTAATCTAGCTGTCGTAACATTGGTGAGACTTCTAATATTTCTTACAGCATATGCTGTAGAACTAAGTCTGCTTGCTAATTTAGATATAAGGGGTTCCATTGAAGCTTCGTGTCAATAGTAATACTAAGAAAAACAATAGTATCCACAAGTCTCAACTCCTCCCCATTTAAGAGCACATAAAAAAGTACTAATACGAAAATTACGCAATATGTGCCCCGCTCGATATTGGTCTTTCTAAGGTTGTTTATGATTCACTAATAATATTGGTATACCGTGGCGGTGTAATATAATCCAACACTTTATTAGATCCGGTGAATTCCATAAGAAGGGAATATAGGAAATGTCACAAAGATGCAGATCAAATATACCCAGACTGACGACGGGAAACAGTGCCAGAGGTGCGAGAACTCTGGTACTGTGATTATCAACACCCCTGCCAATCGTGGCAGTTAAGACAAATTCTCCCTCAAATGGGAGAAGTTTGTGTTTAGCAGTGAACTTTTTGCGCTGAAAATGAAGGAGCATTCCGTAATGAATCAACATCATTACTATATTCTACATTTAACTTGTGTTAAGGAAAAACGTACCACACTAAGTTCATCGTCGTCGCTGGTACCTCTCAGCGGTGCATTAGCGCCAACTACTCCGTCCCATGTGCCGTGATAATCGTAACACATCATGTGGATGAAGTCCAGATAGAGACTTAGCTTGTGCAGTTCATACGCTGCCTCCATGGTCGCCTTGCCAGCGCCAAGTGCCGCTGTCAAGAGGTATCCTTTAGACTCGAAAGCGTCTTTTAATTCCTAGAATAGGAAAAGTTTAGTCAAGAATTTTATTAATTAATTAAAAGTATAGCTAATTAATTAAAAGTATGTCTCCCACTGGGCAAAGTGTTCGGCCCGGGGAGCGGCTAACGCTCCGTTTATTTGTACAGAGTTGTTCTATATATAGTTTAGTACTTTGAAACTTTTAAAAGCGTGATTTTGGCTTCGGTGCATTTCTCTTGTGGCGCGATGGCAGCACCGCTACAATCTAATCCCATGAATGTCAACCGAGGGAAAGACCGGAAGGTTTTTGTGGCCTCCGAAAAAAATAAAATTCCTCCTGTGATAGTCGGTTAAAATAAAAACGACCATCATATAAATTTTAAATTTACTGTCAACGACTCTATACATTATTTAAGTGTAATTTAACGCAATAAAAACTTATTGGACTTTTACGTTTATATGAGTTTCACTTTATATTACCTTTACAAGCAATACGAAGTTCGCTTTGTCTATAGGTCTGCCGTCTCTCGTTGCCGGATACTCCCAATCCAAATCTAAACCATCAAATTTATATACACTGCAACAATAAGTAAATAGTAAATTAAAAAAAATACATTTTAAATAATTAACGTAGCTTTATATTATGAAACAGTTAAGAATTTAGATATATTCAAAATCGAAAAGATAAAAACACTTTAATTCTTGTAACAAAAATACTTACTCTAGAAAAACAAGTACGCTCTTAATGAATTTTGCTCTGTTCTCCGGCGAAGCGGCCATTACGGAGAACTTATTAGAACCCTCGTTCCAGCCGCCAATAGCGATAGTTACCTTCAGGTGAGGATAACGATTTTTTAGTGCAACAAGACCCCTGTAGCCAGCACTGCCGTTTTCTTTCTCTGTGTCATGCCAAGGATCTGAAACATTGAAGAATGATGATCGGTTATGTTGCTATTCTTCTGTCTGTTTTTTATCACATCTCATCCTCGCGGAGACATATCAGCACCTTAGAGTTGCAATATGACCGCAAAAATATAACAGCAATGTGTTGCCTCTCCTTTTTAACTACCGACTTCAAAAAGGAGACGGTACTCAATTCGACTGTATGTTTTTTTTTATGTGTGTTACCTCATAACTTTTTTCTGGGTGAACCGATTTCAATGATTCATTTTTATTTGAAAGCTGGTGCTTCTCATGTGGTCCAATATAAATTTGATCAAGGTCTGATCAATAGTTTTTGAGTTATTTTTAATAATATATATTGAAGTCGGTTGTAAAAAATTTAAAATTTAAAATTATTTGAATAAGGAAGGTCCATTTTTATGTGACCAACGAGCATACAATTCACCTGATGGTAAGTGGATGCTGTGCCCTAAAGAAATCTATATTATTCGTCGATTAGACACGCAAATAACCCCCAGAGCATAAAATAATGCAGTTATTTTGATATTACAGGCGGACACTTCAATTTTATTTACACGCATGTATTGATATAGTAGCCGAATCGACAGACCTTGTTCTGCCCTTTCCGGTAGGTGGCGCGATGAGTTTTGATTGTCAAATATCAACTTTATTATTAAGTCGTCCACAGCGCCTTCTATCGGGTCCAAATATTGCGTATATTTTTGTGCCTATACTAAGCCAACATATTATATTGTGGATACGAGTCATTATGGTCAATAAACAAAAAAAATAGCTTGAATAAACTACCACCTTTCGGATCCTAGCATAGCTATGAATCATCGCCTGGACAAAACAATATATTATTGTTAGAATATGAACCTTTTTTATAGATTATACAATCACTAATAGACGCATCAATGTACATGTAATGTATAACGATTAACAATCAAAAACATATATACATAATATATGGAAGTAAAGACCAGAAATGAGTTGGGGGGTGACTCGAACTTTAGGCCTAGTCAGTTTGTATAGCCTATTATGTAGAGAATATCATACCAAAACAAATTAAATTCTTATTTTGCCTATAACTCCGCCTCCTTCGGAGGTTCTTACACAGTCTTTACTTCCCGCATCCCAATTGATAACATATGTAGTATAAAAAATCATTATTTTGTATGGGTGCTTACCAAGACTTTTGATTCCCATCGTTTTCTCATCGAGACCAGCAAAAGCGTAAATAATGTGAGTGCACAGCGATGGCTTCAAATCTCCAAGGTCAAACTTGCCAAGGCCAGGACGGTAGGTAGCCCATGTGCCGATGTAGCACACCACCACTTTGCCATGCTTTGGACCTGAAAGCAAACTTTAAATTTTATTCATTACAATAATTAGGTATTTGAAAACATATTATGGTTTTTTAAAGGTTATAAAGAAGTAAAATGTTTAATTTCTCAATTTAAAAAGGTACCGATTTATTCTTTATTATTTTAAAATTATTCCCAATAAACACGACAGAGCAGCAGCAAAGCTGTATCCTCTTAATAGTCTATGCATCTGGCAGTGCGACGGTCAATATGTGTGACGATTAAGTCAAATTCTCTCCGTTAGAGGAGAATTTGACATAAGGAGTCTCCGTTGAAACCTCTGTTTAACTTGGGGATAGAACTCCTTTTCTACATACGAGTTCGTGTACTCCATGTATAACAGCCCTCTTAACTGTTTCTGTCGTTAAATAGCAGTGCCTGCACCGCTTTACTCCGGTCTGAAAAGTATAGAGTGCCTGCTGAGAGAGAGGCTGTGAGGCATTCCATCTTAGAGGTGACAAAGCACAATGTAACTTTCTTTATTTGCATTGCGCGAAGGTTATGGGCATAGTACAATTAGCTTACAGTAGGTGGCGCGCGTAACGTACCATCAAATTTATTCGAAAGTTATTTATCATCATCAACTCTTCTAAATTTAAAACGATATTTCCACAATTATTTCTTCTGCGGCAGCATCGCGCCGCAGAAGAGTCCTTATGGCAGAATCGCTAGAGGACCTAAGCACTATGCTCAATGACCTCAATAGTGCCCCCCAACGGATAGGTCTTAAGATGAACATGGACAAAACAAAGATCATGTGTAACGTCCATGTCACACCTAAGCCGGTAGTTGTTGGGAGCACTAAGCTCGAAGTTGTTGAAGAGTATGTTTACCTGGGACAAATAGTCCGACTAGGTAAGTCCAATTTCGACTGAGAGGTCAATCGACGGATTTAACTCGGCTGGGCACTGTTCGGGAAATTACGGCACATCTTCTCGTCAGGTATACCTCAAAACTTGAAAACGAAACTGTACAACCAGTGTTTGTTGCCAGTGATGACCTATGGAACTGAGACGTGGTCCTTCTCTGCTGGTCGGATGAGGAAGCTCAAGCAGCTAGCTATGGAGAGGACTATGCTCGGAGTTTTTCTGCTTGTGTTAAACTTAGAAATGAGGATATCCATAGTAGAACCAAGGTGACCGATATAGCCCAACGGATTAGTAAGCTGAAGTGGCAATGGGCCGGCCGTATAGCTCGAAGAACCGAAAACCGATGGGGAAAAAAGGTTCTCGAGTGGTGGCCCCGTAATGGCGGACGAAGTGTAGGGCGTCTCCCAACTAGATGGAGTGACGACCTGGTAAGACATGCAGGAAGTCAATGGATCCAAGTGGCTCAGGACCATGCTTTGTGGCATTCTTTGGGGAGGCCTATGTTCAGTAGTGGACTTGTTAAGGGCTGTAGTGATGATGACGTTGAGCATCGTGCCAGGTACCAGCTAGTTTTATACAAAAAGGCCTATGTCCAGCGATGGACTGCGCCCCCTTTTCCCTAAAGGGGGTCGCTTCCGATTGGGCAGAAAGGCCATACAGGCCAACGCCAGTCCCAGGTGGTGTTTAGTGGGTAGGCACTTAGGTTTTACAGTGAGTCCCACATAACCACGAAGCCGGCTGCGTGATATGCTAAGAGCATTCACCACCTCCCTCCCCCGCTTCCCGGAGGGTAGCCATTTTCATTCTGGGTGCAAAAAAACGATGGACTTATGCCGGCTGATAAAGCAGAACAATGAAAACTATGGTCAAATCTGTATAATTATTCTTATATAATGTAGTATTTGCGTAATTTTTTTTATTTTAATATGAAATTAATATTAGTTAACGAGATATAGAGTGGGCTATGCTTAAAATAATGGTGAGATTTGTTTTTATTGGATACGCTGACAAACGAGCACACAGTTCATCCACCTGATAGTAAGCGGTTGCTGTGACCCATAGACATCTACATCTATCATCAATAAATAATCAAAATGCAGATGATTTGTCACCCGTGAGGACTAAGATGGAATGCCTCTTTTCCCGTAAACAGGGTCTCCGGTTCTCTACACTCACCGTACGAAACACAGCAGTGTTAAGCTGCTATTTTACGCTGGTAGTGGTCCGAACAATTCCTCAGAGCACTCCCCGTGGTAGATGCGATAAAATACGCATAGAGATGCAACATCTCTACGCAGTGCCAGTGAGTCAAGCCGATTGGAAAGAGTTCGGTCGCCGATGATTCAAACAGCTTTGCGCTGGATGCGATCAAATAGAAGGAGCTGACACTGGGGAGCCGCTGCCCAGAGATGGGAACAGTATTCCACGCCGAACCTGCGCCTTGTAAAGTTGCAAGCGGTATGCCGGCATGAAATACTGTCCCGCTCTGTTGAGCACGCCAAGCTTTTTAGAGGCCAATTTGACCTTCTATTCCAAGTGACCACGAAACTGCAATTCACTTGATATGTCGACACCAAGCATTCCGATACTGGCTGAGGCAACAAGGGGAGTGCCTTGAAACTGAGGAGATACGGCAAAGGGGTTCTTTTTAGCGGTAAACGCGCAAACTTGTGTCTTCTGTGGATTGAACTGGACTAGATTTAGTCGACCCAGTCTGAGAATTTGTTCAACAAAGTCTCGACTTCAGACACAAGTTTGTTCCGGTACTAGGCGACGTTTTCCCGAGAAATATTAGCACGGCCGGTGTATAAAGCATCACCAGTGCTGTCGTTTGCATAGCAATGAATGTTACTGGTTTGCTTGGTTACATATCATTACTGGTGTCGTTTTTAGGTGCCGATGTGCTCGCGAATCGTAAAATAATCACTCTCATAGTTTTTCTCAAATGCGCTAAAAAAGTATAATTACAAATTTAAAAATGAAGTGACAAACGAACTTTCAGTACACTAATGGTAAGTGGCTACTGCAGTCCTTTGACACCTGCAGTCTCAACTGCTAACAAAAAAGGCTACAGATGCGTTGTCACTTTTGAGGACTACGATGAAATACCTCGTTACCAGTAAAAAGGTCTTCGTCAGTCAATATATGAAACACAGCAGCTTTGCTATTTTACGCCAAGACAAAATGTTTGTTACTTCAGCCTACTGATCCACAGGAATATGAAATTTACTCTTTTGCGATTATTCTAGTTACGGACTTAATTCTGCAGGGAAATTGCAAGCGTAGTCACCTAACGAGTGACTTTGAACTCCCTCATACGGCTCATTGGGTGGGACCACGATCTCATTTCGTAAGTCATCGCTCGCAACATGTACTAGTTTTACAATGCAACGGCTCCGTGGCGCAGTGGCTTAGCAATGAGTTACTGCGCTGGGGGGCGCGGGTTCGAATCCCGCACGGAAGAAGTATTTGTATAGCCTACAAATAATTGTTCTCGGTCTGGATGTTTGTCCTTGTGCAATTTGTGTTTGTAAACTGCCTCCACGACACAGGAGAAAATCCTAGTGTGCGGGTAACGTTTTTTTTTTTAAATTTCGTCATGACGCTGTCTAGCCCCAAGGAAAGTGTCTTCAACATATTCAGTGATCGCTGTTAGTTTTTACTCAATTCATCACAAAAAACTCATTGAATATTTTCCGTTTATTCGTAAGAATGAAGTCAAAATTAGTAATTTAGTTCTTTCAAATATTAATAATTTTATCAGAGGAATTACAAAAGAAATATTTTTATATGTATTAATGTGTATGAATGTCTGTGGCTTTGAATGTATCTTCCGATAAAAGGTAGATTATGTAAATACGATTACATTTTACATTTATGATTTAATTTAATCAAGCCAACTATTTTGTCTAGTTTAACTCATAAAAGGATATTTTTTTCTAGAATAAGAATAAGGATACAAATGAGCACACATTCCACCTGATGATGTTGTGGATGCTGTAGCCCATAGACATCTACATTTATCATCGATTAAGATCAAAATTTAGATGCGTTGTCACTACTAAGACGTTAAAGTTGTTGGACTAAGATAAAATTCCTCATTTCCAGTAAAAAAGGGTCTCCAGTTTTCTATACTCACCTTAAGAAACAGCATAATGAAGCTGCTATTTTACGCTGGTATTCTGTGAGAGCTTGGCCTACCCCGGTCGAGCTGACCCATTCATGATACAACCATAATATACCTGCAGCTTGGCTTTACCATGAATTTTACAAGCTTAGCAATGCTGCTTTCCTCAAGTATCATAAATTTGGGTTCAGTGTTTTTGGATGAATTTTATGCCACCAGTTGGTCATCAGAGCCGCATCCCTCAATCTGTTGACACTTTGACATAAAGTTGGCATAGTACTATGATCTCTTATATGCGGAGAAAGTTTTTGAAATTCGACGCCACGAAAGTGTAGCATGCTCGAAGATTACAAAGGGTAGTGTGACGTTAAAAGCCGCTTCGAACAATTGTTTACAATCAGTGGAGTATAAAATAATCACGAGCGTGAAATTCCGTTACTGACAGTAAATGTACAGTAACAGCCGTGGAGTATTATATCGTTAGTGAAAAGAAGTATAAAAAGTAGATTTGTAGACAACTTTGCGCGTTTACCGCTAAAAGGAACCCCTTTGTCGTGTCTCCTCAGTTTCAAGGCACTTCTCTTGTTGCCTCAGCCACTATCGGAATCCTCGTCGTCGACATATTGAGTGACGTGCAGTTTCGTGGTCACTTGGAAGAGTAGGCCAAATTGGCCTCTCAAAAGCTTGGCGTGCTCAGCAGAGCGGGACAGTATTTCATGCCGGCACACCACCTGCAACTTTACAAGGCGCAGGTTCGGCTTCACATGGAATACTGTTCTCATCTCTGGGCAGAAGCTCGCCAGTGCCAGCTCCTTCCACTTGACCGCATCCAGCGCAGCGCTCTGCAGCACGCAGCCTTGTGAAACACCAGCGTTAATAGGCTTGTAGTCGGAGCATGCACCGCCTACAACGACCTCTATGCTCCGATCTGCAAGGAAGCTGGTGATCCAATTGCACAATTCTCGAATCGTCGACGACCGAGTTTTTTCCGA